GGTGCCACGTGTCCAATTCTGGTGGTGCCACATCACCCCCTATCGCGTATCAGCCTTCAAACTTAGAAAAATCATAACTTTCGCATACGAGCTCCGTTTTTGACGTTCTTTATATCCACGCGTAGGTAAAATCAAGATCTACAACTTTCGTTTAGACTCTGTCAGCTAATTCTCGACCGATCTCAAATTTAACAGTAGGAGGCGTTTAGACTGTTAAATGATCGCGAAGAGTTCATAACTCCTTCATCCGGACTCCGTTTTCATCTGTCTTTTTACCGTTGAGTTCCTATTAATGAGACCTTCAACTCTCATTTAGGTCGTGTAAGCCAAAAACCGCTCGAACTAAAATTCGAGTTTCGGGTCGTGCACTGTTAAGCCGAATCTTAGAAAAATCATAACTTCTTCATACGAAGTCAGATTTGGGCGTTCTTTTTATCGATGTTCTTAGTTTAACATATTCTAAGACTTTTGTTTAGATTGCTAAGGCTAAAAAGTCTTATATCATAAATTCACTATTTACGTCTCCCGGTGCCGTGCCGGTTTTGCCGTAAAACTTCGGCGGGCCATAACTTCTTCGTTATAGCTCGGATTTCGGCATTCTTTATATGTACGGAAACCTTGAAAAATATTCCACAACTTGGTTAAGAGTATTTATTCTAAATAATCTTTTGTCGAAAAGTCATTTTCGACCCCTATTGCCTCTAAATTGACTATCCCGGATCTGCGGGCGTTACACCTTATGTCTACCACTCTAGGCTCCAACAATCCTTCTAACAAGAGTTCCTCCCAACCTCCCTCCACTCCCGTCGTGACACAGTCATCTCGGACCATACATACATGAAGCATGTCCGGTATCTCTAAACCTAAACACATATTCAACCTTTATTCTCACTCTACTATTTCTCCACTTCCACGCAATTCGAAGGATGCGTTATCTCATCCAAATTGGAAACAAGCTATGACCGATGAGTTTAATGCACTAATTGAGAATAAGACTTTGGTTTTACAACCAAAAACACCGGATATGCATATTATTCGATCTATGTGGATTTTTAAACATAAATTTAAATCTGATGGTTCCTTTGAACGTTATAAAACATGACTGGTGGGAGACGGTCGTTCATAACAGGTTGGAGTCGACTGTGACGACACTTTTAGCCCGATAGTTAAACCGACCACTGTACATACTGTCTTGAGTCTTGCCCTTTCTAAATCATGGTCAATACATCAACTCGACGTAAAAAAATGCATTTTTACATGACAACCTTTCCGAAACTGTTTATATGCATCAACCACCGGGGTTTCGCGACAATAATATCCCGACCAAGTTTGTCTCCTTAAAAAATCACTATACGGTCTTAAACAATCCCCTCGGGCATGGTACTAACGTTTTGATGATTTTTTCAGGACTATCGGTTTCAAGCACAGTGTGTCAGATCACTCGTTATTTATTTATCGACAAGGTAATGATGTTGCATACTTACTCCTCTATATCGATGATATCAACATCACTACTTCTTCTCTTAATCTTCGACATACTCTTACAGAGCTTCTAGCACACGAATTCGTGATGAAGGATCTTGGACCTCTAAGTTATTTTCTTGGCATCACCGATCAACGTCATTCTCAAGGTATATTCTTAAGTCAAACTAAATACGCGAAGGAGATCATTGAGCGTGCTGGCATGTCGAGTTATAAACCGACCACAACCCATGTTAACACTAACTCAAAACTTGATGTCAAAGCCGACGATCCCTTTCCCGATCCAACTTATTATCGGAGTTTAGCCGGTGCCTTACAATATCGTACTTTTACGCGACCAGATATTTCATACGTTGTACAACAAATATGTCTTCATATGCACGCCTTACATACCGCTCACATGCATGCTCTAAAACGCATCATTTGCTATGTCCAAGGGACTTTACATCACAGTTTACATCTTACTAAATCTGCCGCTACCCAACTCCTTTCCTATACCGATGCATATTGGGGAGACTGTCCCACAAGAAGATGTTCTACCTCTGGTTACTGTGTTTTCCTAGGAGACAACTTGATCTCATGGTCCTCCAAACGTTAACCAACTTTATCTAGATCTAGTGCTAAGGCAGAATATCGTGACATTGCTAATGTTGTCTCTGAAACTTGTTGGTTACGTAATCTCCTCCTCGAGTTACATTGTCCCCTTTCTAAGGCAACTATCGTCTATTGTGATAATGCTAGTGCCATATACTTATCCGACAACCCTGTTCAGCATCAACACACAAACCATATTGAAATGGATATTCACTTTGTTCGGGAAAAGATCGCTAAAGGCGAGGTTCAAGTTTTGCATGTTCCATCACGTTACTAGCTAGCTGACGTTTTTACTAAAGGACTACCACATGTTTTATTTGATGATTTTCGAGACAATCTCAACATTCGTCAACCTCCCGTTGCGACTGCGGGAGAATATTAGATATTATATATATTATTGTTATAATCATGTGATAAAAAGATATGCACATGAGAGCTAGTTTTTAGAATCCTATTTTGATTATAGTTTCCTTTCATAAACTATTATTTGTATTATTTATACAATTCACGTAATAAGAGAATTGATTACGCAACAATAGCTTGTTTCAATTATGAAAAGAAAACCCTATATTGCTTTCTATGCATGCTGGACTCTCTTGTAAAATATGAAATTCTGTAGGGTTATTAAAAAAAACCCTCATCATGCTACACACAATAGAGCTCTAACCATTCAATGAATATTAGTATCTTAAAAAATAAAATAAAAAAGTGTAAAATTTAGCAAGTGTGTTTGATATAACTATTGAAAACTATAAAAAAGTAATATGAGAGACACATTATTTTAAGGCCAATTGAAACGATTGAAAGCAACCACAATAATAAATTACAAAAAAAGATCTATCACATAAGGCTATTGTATCAGTCCAGTGTAGTTGGTAAAACTTTTTACAAAGTCATCCCAAAAAATCATTAAAATGACAATAAAGACCCTTGGTATGTATGTGTATGATAATGATTGAATCATTACAATCCATTTGAAAGTAGTTTACTTTTTCTTAGTTTACTTTGTTATTGAGCAAAGTTTGAATCTTAATCTTTTTGTATGAAATTGTTTAACGGTTAGACTTCTATCATCTGATAAGTTTAATCATTTTAAAAATGTATATCATTGAAAAAAAAAACACAGTAACCCTATAATTCGAGGATATTTTTGTTGATATAGAAAACTTAATCAATTGTTGTTTACAATTAATTCAATAAACCATATATTTTATACATATAATATTTTTTGAAGTCCTAACTCTTATGTCATGTTTTTTGATGACAATACTAGACAAAAAGTAAATTTTCTTAAAGCTAAATGTATCTATATTGATAGTTTCATCAATAAAAGGAATTCTTTTTTAAATAGAAATGAATAAATCTACAAAAAACCATTTGCTTATAGTTATTGTGCCGTTTGACCTATAAGATTTGATTACGTATAGTTATATTTGTTGATATGTGTAGTTAGCATGATTTTGTGTTTCATAAACTAAGATGATATTTTCAAAAGATGGCGATTGGCGTCTCTTTGATATTACTAGAAACAATGAAAAATAATGGTATGCATGGAAGGTAACTAATGAGTTTCCATGTTTAATATCAAAAGAGTTATCATTTAGAATTTATAAGCGTAATATTCATCTCTTTCAATGTCTCTATAAACCCGAATATGTAATAAAAATCCTATTTATTAATGTTACCATTCTATTTCTAGAACCATATCTTTCGTAATATATTTTTTTCCCCGAGTGTATGGTTGTATTTTAGCAAAGATTTAACTTAGAATGATATAACTGCCAAAACCTGACTTACCTCTTTTGATCTTTAATGTTTTTAATAGTTGAGTCATGAGTAACTAAAAAATATTATTATTATTTTTAAATTCCAAATGTAAGTAAAGTAACTATCATAGGGACTTGCGGTGATTTGTATTCATTTTTAAGGGTCTAACTGCAATATCGTAAAAACTTTGAAGCATGTTTCTACAAATTAACACAAAAGGACCCATACTTTCTCAATTATAACTTGCCACCCACCATTGACATGAATACCGCGTGTTCTCGTAGTCTTTCTCGCCGAAAAATCCAACAAAAATACTCGAAGAATTTCTCATATCATCTGATATATGATAATTGATAATTAAGCAACAGAACCCCAAACATCAAACTTCGAATTTTCAGGTTTTCTGTTCATCATCGCCAACATAATCATCAACCTCTCTCACTGTCTCAAGGTACCCTTATCTCTTCATTCTTCCGTTATCCATCATCGTTACGTGTTCTTCGGATTTCTGATGCTGTTATCGCTGCCAATTGAAAGATTCAAAATCTGTTTTTATGGGTTTTCTACGCTGTTGAAGAATTGACATTCTAGGTCGGGGTTCATCCGATTCTTATTTTTGGTTGCACGACTTTGAATAAAATTGAAACAGGTTAAATTCAGAATCGACTGAAAAAAGCACACACGTTTCATACACAATTTGGGAAAAAGTCTTTTAGGGAATTTAGATGTTTTTAAAAAAAAAAAAAAATCTTGACCTGGTTGCTTTGTGGTTATACCAAGTCATTTATTCCGTCTGCCGCCCCCTTGATTCTACAAAAATTCATGCTTATTTCCATATCTGATCTTAGGGTTTTATGATCGAAAACCACATGGGTTTTAATTACGAGCTCGGATTAACTCATTGAATTCACTTCTTTTTTTCTAATGTGGAATTATGGTTTCCAAAAGAAACATTCCTGACTGAATGTGTACATGATGAATTCAATTGTAGGCAGTAAACGACAATTGATTTGGCGTATTCATACGGAGGTGAGAGGTCAGATAGAGAGGGTCTACTGGTTCGCAGAGCCATTGTAACTTCTGCGGGCCTCAAATCCTCTCTGATTCTTTGTTAAAACTAGAGTATCATCATCATCATCATCATCATCATCATCATCATGGGTTCCGTTTGTTGCTGCTTGCGTGATGAATGTGAAGATTATGTTAATCCCAATAGTTCGATTTACAGAAACTGCATCTGTCTTAGATGCTTTCTTCAAAATTTCTTATATATGGTATGTTCATTACCCCTCATCTAATCAAATGTTTCATGATTCTATTTCTCCCTCTCATGATACTCAATGGTTACTTATTCCATGATTTTCTTTGAATAGTACGCATCATTATTCCAAAGAGGGGAAGAACATGTGAGGCTTCCAAGCCCTAATTCCATTCAAGGGACAACAACATCTTTTAGTTCATCAGCATCACTTGACAATTCTTTATCTGGGGTGTACAGATCACCTCCTAGACCTTTACCTTATGATGTTGATCCTAGGTATATTCGTCTTCAGAGAGATGGACTTGTTTCTAGAAGAGAGAAAGGCTCAAGTCGTTCACAGGAAGAAGGTGAACCATTAAGAGGAAGTGATAGTGATACAGAAACAGATCCTTTATGTGCTGCTGGAAACAAATGGAATAATAACAGCTCCACTTGTGAAGATGGAACAAAAGGGTTACAGACAAAATCTTCCTTAAAGGTTTCAAACGCAAAAGACTCAACTGGATATGCACATATATTTTCTTCATCCGAAGATGAAGACGTTTGTCCAACATGTCTTGAAGGTAAATAAATTTCTGCATTGTATATGATGTATATATCGTTATGGAAAGGGTATTTATGACATTTTACGTATTGGATTGCAGAATATACTACAGAAAACCCTAAGATAGTTACAAAGTGTTCGCACCATTTTCACCTTGGTTGCATATACGAGTGGATGGAAAGAAGTGACAGCTGCCCTGTTTGTGGCAAGGTAATGGTTTCACTTTCGTTATGGAAGGGTATTTATGTCATTTTCTTCATGGCAACAACATTGGATGTTTTTTTTGTAGGTGATGGCATTTGATGAGGAGACTGTTTAGGCTTTTTAACATGAAGTGTTGCTGCTATAAATATAATCGCGGCCACAAAAGAAATGAAGATGATAAAGAAACCAAGAAAACAGCTTGTAAATTCTTTGTGAATACCCACCCGCATGTTACCAGTGTTTTTTTTTTTTTTTTTTTTTTAATTATCATGTATAAAAATGGATTAATTGTTCCATATAATTTCACATGTTTTCTTACACTCAATTATTGAAGAAATCTCTTGAATTATACAGGAAATACATGCCCATTGAATGGGAATGCTCTTGTATTTTTCACTTTATCTGTATTTACATGTTCAAAGACTTTTGAAAGCAGTTTGTTTCGACTTCCAAATGATTATGATTCAAATCGAGCACATAAACAAAAACATAAGTTTATATAACCAAAAATAAATCAGATAAGTGATATATTTATTGCAAACATTAATGTATAAAAACGACTTGATAACACTCTTATATGTAGCAATCACTAGATGAAATCACTCAATTAGCAGCCACTTGAAAAGCTCTCAGGAATACTTCTGCAGGTTGGCCACCACTCAGCTGATGTTTTCCATTAATCTGAGACAAAATAAATATATAAATAGCCTTTAATTCAAACTATAAGGCAAAAGCCAAAGAGTAAATCTAATTATCCAATCGCCTACCACATAATGAGGGACACCAGAAATGTTGGCGGAGTGTTTCTCAAGTTCTTCATTAACCTTCAAGAGTTCATAGTAACCAACAAGTTTATTATAAACTGGTTTTACTATGTAAAACAATTGAACAGACATCTTTATTTTTGTTTGAAATTTTTTATAAAGTTGAAGCATACTACCTCCTCAAGTCCCATTTTTGGATCATCAAGAAACTCAGCTGCTCCTTCTATCCCAGCTTTCCTTGCAGATTCCACAAGAAAGTTCCTGTATTCAAGTTGTTCAATCATTCAATTTGGTTGACATTAAAATGAAATAAGAAGTTTTGTTTATGAGTAACAAAAGGGTGTTTGATAATATATGATGAGATGAAGTTAGTTACCTGTCACCTATAAACTTTGCCTGTGTGAAATAGCCTTTGAATATCTCTTCAACAAGATTGTGTTGCTTATCAAGCCCTTGTTTCCCTGCAAAAAGTATGAGCCTGTGGCTTTCCAGGGAACATCCCCTGCTTTCCAGAAACAGAATCAGTGAGTTCTTGATGTATTTCCACAGTTTAAGAATGGAATGGAATGGAATTATAAACTTACGTGAGGCCTGACATGCTGTATTCCATTCCAATTTCCTTAAAAACCTGCAATTCGATAGCATTAATACAAACGTCCAGGAATTGAAAACTGAAAGCGAAGTGAGTGAGTTACCTGAGACATCCGAACACTCATTTGATCAGCTCGAGAACCAAATTTGTTCCTGTAGTAATCGATCTTGTTAACCCCTTCTTTAGGGGCAGAAGGGTTTAGTAAAAATGGATGCCAGTTAATCTGTTTCAGAAACAATGAACAGATTAATATATTTCAAAACAGAAGAAAACAGATTGAAGTGAGAGAAAGTTAGAACCTCGAAATCGTATTGATCTTTTGATAGAGCTAAAGCTTTGTCTAGATTCGTCTTGCCCACGTAACACCATGGGCACACACTATCCGAAGTCACATCAATTTTAATGAGCTTCTTCCCAGCTGTATTTGTTGATTGAGCCATTGATCAGGTGTATCTGCAGTATTTCTGAACAAAAGTTATCGGTTTCAAAATCAATTGTTCCCTAAAACATTTTCAGCCGTTTTTACCAGTTTCAAACGCACATGCAATGTTTTTAACAACCATAAAAAATGAACAAAAAAGGTTAATTATCCGATCATGAAGCTGATATATTGAATCGGTAAGTGTGAAGATTTTGTCAAAATTGAAGGCTGAAGACTGACCTCAAAATTTCCGAACTTCAAAGTTGTTGAACGGAGGGCGAACATAGAAGAGGGTTCCTTCTGGCTTGTATATATACGTATACTGATGCCAAATATGAATGTAATCACATCATTTGGGGTTTCAATTGTCTTCTATCTGACGCGTTTGTTTGACTTCGAAATGTCAACCGCCTACCAACCTGTCATGGATGATCGCCAATGAGTTCAGAAAATAAAGGGCTGAAGTGGTACTAGTGTAAAGTAGAAGGGGTTAAGGTGAACTGATAAAAGTTACGATTTTTTTTTTGTTTTTGGACTAACAAATGAATTTGACTGAATTTGAGCCCTAGAGATCCGATTTGAGTTAAAACAAGCTTAAAATCTTCGCGAACAGTATACTCTCTTATACTCTCTTCGCTTTTTCATTTTGGGACACATATCTAAGGCCCCGTTTGTTTGCCTCTTAATTGAAAAATTAAGAGGGAACCTCTTAATTTTTCAGATATATAATGTTTGGTAGCTTCTTAAAAAATACATCTTAATTTTTAATTTACCTCTTAAAATTTCAGATGTGTATGCGTATCTGAATTAAAACAAAGACAACTATGCCCTCAAAAACACGGAGCGCTTCTTTTCTTTTCATATGTTTCCATCGACTCCCGCTGCATCTTTCTCCTCCATCTCTAATTCGTGTCCACCTCCCTCCATTCTACGTCGCCCCCTCTGGCTCCTCTCTACCACCGGCAGCTTCAATAGCCCTGCCTCCGCCTCCGCCAACTTCTACAGGTAAGGGTTTTGATTTCACTTTCATTTAAAATTGAGTTCGAGATATTAGGGCTCAGTTTCTTTTCTTCTGAAAATCGAATGTTGTTCATGTGAAATCATATGATGTTTTCTTTTCTTCTTCCTCTAAAAATCGAGTTCAAGATATTAGGGTTGTTTTGGTCTTTTTTTTCTTCTAAAATATGATTTTCATTTGTAGATATAGATGTTCCGTTTTTTATGTTGAAATCATATGTGTCTTCTTCAGAAATTGATGTTATGTTCTGAAATCAATGATGAAGTTGTACTTCTTATTGAAATCTGTGATTTCTTGCTGAAATAGTTGATGAAATATCTTGAGTTTCTTTGTTGATTGTTGTTAAAATCGATTTTTTTTTTTGTTTTGGTTGAAATTATTTGATGGAGTTATGTTATGATGTTAAAGAATCTGTGATAAAGTTTATGAAAACATTCTCTAAAGTTGATGAAATTATTTGTTGATTTTGCTGAATTTTTTTTTTTTTTGAAATTTAAAGTATGAATGATGAATTGGTGTATAGTTGTGATGTAGTTGTGATGTTTCTTGTGTTTCAAGACGTCATTAAGGTGGAGATTTTTAGAAATCAATGGATTGCTCATTTTTTTATTTGATGATTCTTTGACCCAATGTCCACTTAAGTAATTTCATGTAGATAAAAGTTATAATGTTTCTTGTCCTCAAAACCGTGTTATGGAGATTTGGTTAATAGTTTAATGTAGACTTTGAAGCACAAAAAGAACCTAACTATTCTTTCTTTCTGGTTTGTCTATAGCAGATAATGTTGAAGCAAGAAGAGAAATTAAGTGCAAGAAGATTGTACTTGAATTGGTTTAATTGATCAACTTCCGGTTATTATTACGGTCTTTAGATTAGCAACATTTTTCCATTCCTGTATTCAATAACATATATGATTGTATTTGTATACATTATTTCATTAATTTTTATATTGATATAAGACCTTTCCTAGTTTTACAGTTATAATCTTAAGAGTACATTGTTTATATTCTTCTGTATGGTGTTTATATATTTTTTTAATATAGTTATTCAAGAAGTTGGATCAATTATTTTATAAACAAAAACATTGAATTCAACAAAAATAACTTAGAAGGGTAAAATGGTCATTTCATAATTCAGCACAACAATTTAGAGGTTCTAACCAAACAACATTTTAAAAATTCAGAACTTAAAAATTCAGACCCTCTTAGAAATTCAGATCTCTTAAAAATTCAGATCCTACCAAACAGCCCCTAACTCTACTAATATCTTATCAACTACAACCTATAATAGCTTACTGTTCATCTTTTCTATAAGATAAAAAAAAACGTAATTGATTTTAAGTAAAACAAATATATATATATATATATATATATATATATATATATATATATATATATATATATATATACACACACAACATCACAATAAGAATCAGTTAAAAAAAATTACATATTCATATAAACTAAATTAATACGACCTAAATAAAAAAATATTATTAGAAAACATGAGAGTAATATTCCAACTAAATTTTTCTACGTAACTAATCACACACACGTTTATAAGTTTTTATAAATTTTATTTACTATTATTGTTTTTTACTTACTTAAAGTTGTCATCATATAATAATAATCTTTAATTGTAACCTACTATAACATTTGTTACCAACCCACTGCATAACAAGCCACATACTATTCTTGATTACTTTGCAATTAATCAATAAACAATGCTACAAACAAGAAAACATCACACATAGAAGTCTATAACTACAACTTACATTATCTACATGCACAAAATGACAATATACCACACATATAAATTGTAACTTTGAAAACTAAATCTAAACCACATCGCATCATAAATATCAAAATGAATAGTACATATTTCAATAACACTTTGATGATTATGATAGACTTTCTTAGAGAAATTGTAGACATACTTCAGCAACTCAATCGAGGTTAGAAGAAAGTTTCACAATTGACGTAAATATCCGACTATACATAACAAATCACGGCGTAACATGTGCTGCTTGACAACCACTACGAGACAACAAAAATGAACAACACCATCCATGAAATGAAGGATAAATATGACGCCTTTATCAACAATCTCAAACAACAAATCAAGAAACTCCCTGAAGACAAGCATCCTTATAAGTAATATGTTTATCTATTTAGTGATGTTCTACTATAAATAAACAATATGTACCTATGCAACCCTTAAGGAAGTAATCTTTGCTATTAGTATTATGTTGGTATGTAACTGTCCTTATACAAGAAATCTGATATTGTAAATATTTTGTTGCTATGTCTAAGTCTTATTATGCAAAACTGTGATGCAATTTAATTCCAAAACCACAGCGCCAAAGGCGCACTGATTCCATTCTAGTTATATATTAAAGCGCACGACGCATTTCAACAGTAACATTTCCATCTTTATAATTTTAACACTATATTTTTATTTTTTTCTTAATTTTGCCACTAAAATTTCAACAAACTTTTCTTTTTTATAATTTTGCCACTTTATTGTTACTTTTTTATATTTTTGTCACTAAACTTTCACTTTTACTACTTTAAAACCCTTTTTCTTTATTTTTTTTTATAATTTTACCACTTTATTTTTACTTTTTTTATAATTTTGCTACTAAAGTTTAAACAAACTTTTCCTCTTTATAGTTTTGGTATTTTATTTTTACTAATTTTGCCACTAAAGTTTCAACAAACTTTTCATGTTTATAACTTTTACACTATATTTTTACTTCTTTATATTTTTGCCACTAAACTTTCACCCGTGCAACGCACGGATCTTTTCCTAGTTATGATAAAAGCAACACTAAAACGTTTACGCATTTGAGCTTGACGATCAAATTGAAGATTTGAAAATGGGATTCCGGTAATTTTTTAATTTGTATGAAAAAACTGAACAAAGTTCAACGAAGTAAACAAAAACCTAACAAGAGTTAAAGAGCTAGAATTTTTTTAATGGATAACCAGATAGAGACAAGCCTCGTACTTGGGATTAATTTCGATGTCAATATAATAATACCAAAGAAGATCAGTGGACCATAAAGATTTAATACTATTAATGGCTTAAGAAATGTAGGGGCTGAAATGGTATTAATGTAAAACGCAGTGGATTAAAGTGAAAACTTGGGGAGTGAATTTAGATATAACCAAACCCAAAGGGTCTGGAAGATTCTTCTATGGTGTCGAACGGCACACATTTTTCCGATCATCGACAAGAACACCGAATCCCTTCGACCGTTTATCCCCCAAGGTCCTCGGAACTCAACAATCATTCTACGACAACCCAATCATTTCTATTTTTGTTCCGAAAATCAAATCTTATCCACAATCGATCTTCTCCAGTCAAAGGTAATCTCTCCCCTCTTGCTTATATAATCTAACATCTACGCACTTAATTCCTTTTCTTCAACATTTCTTTGCCGGTCAAGAACAATTTGAGAAATCCAAGGTGAAATAATTTGCCACCTGTTTACTTTCCTATCATCAATCAATTACCTAAATTAATTTGATTACTATTGATCTATATTTCATTTCAAGCTTCCGTAGCGGTTAAGAATATACGAGAAATCAAAAGTGAAACCCTTGTTATTACATTCCATCTTTTTTGGGACATCGTTTGATTGATATTTGATCATCTTCACTTTTGATTTTTTGGGTTTAGATCTTTGTTCATAGTTTCGGTTTCAATTCAATCCAAATTGACAACAAATCGGGATTACAATTGGTTAATGCATGATTGTAAAATGCATATTGATTTGTGATTTGTGTTTGATTAGGTTTGTCAGGCGGTGTGAGTAAATGGCGATTGATGAAATATTTGGAGACACTCCACCGGTGGTTTCCCCAACCAAAAGTGCACTTTACGTTTGGGGTTATAACCAGTCTGGACAAACCGGTAGAAAATGTGAAGAGCAAAGCCTAAGGATCCCAAAACAGCTTCCGCCTGATCTTTTTGGGTGTCCAGCCGGAGCCAATTCACGTTGGTTAGATGTGACTTGTGGACGAGAACATACTGCAGCCGTGGCCTCTGATGGCTCCCTCTTTACTTGGGGTCAGTTTCCATTTTTACCCTTCTTCAAATTGTGATTATTGTAACTTTTTAGCACATCCTTTCAGGGGCAAATGAGTTTGGTCAGTTGGGTGATGGAACTGAAACGAGTAGAAAACATCCTAAAAAAGTGAAGCTTTTGCAAAATGAGTTTGTGGTATCCGTGGCTTGTGGGGCCCATTGTACTGCTGCTATTGCAGAGCCACGTGAAAACGATGGGACAATCTCTTCTAGAAGACTTTGGGTTTGGGGACAAAATCAGGTTCATAATCTTTTTCACCCATAATAGCAACCTACTTACATTTCTCTTCTAAAAAAAATTAATAATAATATGTAAGAAATGAAGTACATTGCCCATATTGGTACCAAAGTTGTAATTCCATTTCTTCCTTCTTTTCAGGGATCTAATTGTCCTCGTGTATTCTGGGGAGCGTTTTCTCCTAATACAGTAAGAATTTGAATACTATTATTATTATTATTATTATGTTTCCTTCCATTAAATCGCAAAAATAATTCTTTTGTCTTTCAATAATTTCAAACTATTCAGATTATTCGTCAAGTGTCATGTGGAGCTGTGCATGTTGTGGCACTATCAGAGGAAGGGCTGCTACAAGCTTGGGGTATAAAATATAAACACCTTCATTTCTATGTTCTTTAAAAAAAGTATTTTAGTATTGATCTCTTATTAAATGCGTGTATTAAATCATAAACCAGGCTACAATGAATATGGTCAACTTGGAAGAGGTGTTACTTGTGAAGGCCTTCAAAAGGCACGTATTATAAACGCATATGCTAGGTTCCTTGATGAAGCCCCTGAGCTTGTAAAGATCACTCAAGTTTCATGTGGAGAGTATCACTCTGCAGCCATATCAGAAGATGGAGAGGTGTAAGTGCATTAAAAAAAATGGGCCTTTTGTTGATGAAGATAGGTTCTAGAACACAAGCCGATTAATCGCTTGGAGGTCAAGGCAACCTCACATCAAATCATATGTTGTCATCATTTCAATTCTGATTTTGAATTTGTAATTTCCCATTTGATTTCAGCTACACATGGGGGTTGGGAAGCATGGGGCAACTTGGTCATTATTCTCTTCAATCAGAGGACAAGGAGTTGATACCACGGCGTGTGGTGGCACTTAATGGGATATTTGTGAAGAGTGTAGCTTCAGGTGGTGTGCATACCTGTGCTTTGACTTCAAAAGGAGGTCTATACGCTTGGGGTGGTGGTCAATCTGGTCAACTCGGGCTGGGCCCACAAAACGGAATCTTTTCATGCGACTCTGTAACCATGTTTCGGAACATTCCGGTTTTGGTCCTTCCTTTCGGTGTCAAACAGGTTGCTTGTGGACATTCTCACACACTTATCTGCACACAAGATGGTAGAATCCATGGTTGGGGCTATAACAGCTATGGCCAAGCTGCTAACCAGAAGTGCACTTATGCTTGGTATCCATCTCCAGTTGATTGGTATATCTCTCTTTCTCTCTTTCTCTCTCCTTTGACTTGAAGGTTTGACTGATGAATAACCGAAACAGGTGTTTGGGGGAAGTAAGGAAGCTGGCAGCTGGTGGGGGCCACTCTGCTGTATTAACAGATGCGTGTTCATTAAAAGAGTTGTGTGAGTTTCAAATTGCAGACTGTTTGACACCAAGGAATGCTTCTATGATTGAAGATGTTGCATATCGAACTGGTTCAGATGCTTTGGTTCGGCTTTGTGAGAGGTTAAGGTATTTATATATTAAAGTTGTGACATGTTTGACCATAAAAGTCAACTGTCTTCTGAACCAGTTTTTTTTGTCATTGTAGGGAAGGTCACTCTGATGGTGGGACTTGCAAATGTTAAAATTGCTCCTGTAATTTGATATTCACATGTTGTTGGCAAACTTCAACAATTGATTTATACAAATGTGTGTGTTTAAGAACAGGCAGAAACATGTGTCATGTTAATGTTGTAGAACTATTGTATATGTAAATTAAGTGTTAAAACTGGTGTTGTTGATGTCGTTGTAAGTTGCAAGTCATTATTATGTGGATACATACAATATATGAAACCAAATAATAGCAAACAAACATCCATATTCATGGTCATGGTCATGGTCATGGTCATGCATACAAGTGGATCTTTTACTAAAGCATAGTAGCAAATTTCTTTTACTGATTGATGTTGTTATCATATTGGATGCACCTCTCAGAATGCGTTGGAGCATAAATATGTTTATATATGTAGCGGGAATCAAACATATATAATGATAATAATTGTAGAAATCAAAAGTTGACCACTTTATATAATTATATATTTATATTCACACACTCCGATGGGTGGGAGATTAAGTTCTTATTGGTTAATGTGGCGGATCATCCACAATGGCATCATGGTGGTGGAGACGTGTTGAACTTGAGCTGATTCCTCCTCCCTCATGGCCGCTCCAATGAATGGTCCACTGCAAAAGTTAATGTAATTACAAAACTACCCCTCATATGCACAGAAACTTTTTTTTTTTTTTTTTTGGGGGGGGGGGGGGGGGGGGGTGGGGGGTACGTACCTTGTGTTTGCAAAAGAAGGAACTGAACATGGATGTGGTTGAGGTGGATGCTGAGGTAATTGTAACATTGGAATTTGTTGCTCACTGGTCTTCTCATTCTCTTTCAACTGTGCCCAAATCAGATAGTTGCCAAACATGTCATTTTAACTTTGAAACATGTGGAAAAAGGTTGTCGTTTTCATGTGAACATTTAAAGTTTTATTACACTCCACGTTGAATGGAGTACAGTTTCTTAAAAGAAGTACCTTCTTAGAGAGTGAATTGTTTCTTTCTTGCAATGCCCTCTCCTGTCATATAAAAGAGTGATTTATTAATCAATGACACGTGTTCTAAAATTATCAAAAATAGCGCCTCAACCTAAATTGTTTCAGGATTTTATAATTCCAAATCAATATAAATATGTTTGGCAGCATAAGAGATGATACGGCTACCTTTTTATGAAGCTCAGAGATGGACTCATGCATGAGTTGGTTCTGCATATTAGGGTGTATAGTAGCAATTAGTCCTTATTATATACATACGGAAAGCAGATATGTATTTTTGGAAGAACCAGAAGGTGGTTACCTTTTTTGTCCGTATTCGCTTAAGAGCAGTCTCAAGTTGTTGCTCCACATTTTGAAGCTCTCTAAGGTTTAGTTGCTCTAGATCTTCCCCATCATAGTGCCTGTACATGTTCAAATGACATATGGTTATACAACCCTACAATATAACGTTTTAAGACCATATACCTTTTCAAAATGGGATTCAAGATTAGCACATTGATAAAAAATTCTTAATATTTTGATTGATCTTCAATACATACAAGGATACATGAGATTGCTATTAGACCCCTACAATAGAAAATGAGGATAGCGGATGTTCATGCTAGAGTGGAAATTTGTAAACAATGTTAGGGTAGTCTTTTTGATAAGATATCTACATGTTGGTGGGCAGACGGGGGATGTAGTACGCAGTTGTCGCCAACACAAAATTCTCCACGAACAAAGTGGACGTCAAACATTCAACAACTTTGGTTTGTTGTTATTGTGCCAGGTTGCCTAACAATTGTATAGTAGCTATATTGTCACAAAACACCATTGTAGCTAAGAACATGAGAGCATGTAGTTTGAGACTTGCCTCAACATCTACATTAGCTATAGCCATGTATTTAGCTTCAACATTGGACGTGGATAAAGTGGATTGTTGTTTGGACGGCCAAGAGATGAGGTTCTTGTTGGGTTAATCGGTTTTATTATTTTAGGAGTCTATTTTTGTTTAGTTTAAATAATGGACAATTAGGAAAGTAGCCATATTTAAGTCTTTTATTTTATATCCTGCATAGTTTTAGAATTCAAGTAGGATACTTATTTGTCTAGTATAAATAGGATCAATGGTATAGTATTTTCTTTTATGCAAGACTTTTTCTATTTTATTTTTGTTCAAGTAATATATTGGTTTCAATTCTTCCATTCTCCCGTATTCTTTTTACTTGTTGCATAAGGGTTTATTTTTGCTTGTTATTTACACAAGTTTCAACCCAAGTAATCTTACACTTGGTATCAGAGCGTGGTTTTGTTGAAGGGGGTGTGATTCGAGGTTGATTAGAAACAACCCCGGTTTCTTTTAATCGGGCTTGTGAGAGACTAACCGGAGGCGCGGAGTAAACGAACGGGAAGACGTCAAAGCGGGTGGCTTTGATTCGGTTCGTTTTGCGGGTGACGGAAGACGGTAAAGGTGGTCGTGACCTTGTCTTGTTGTCCGGTGGAAACGTGCTCTCGGAACAAGCTTGATTAAAGAAGTCGGGGTTAAGGAGAAAAAGATGGCGTTGGTTAAAGAAGGAGGTTCGTTGACATATCAAGTTTCGGTTTTGACTCCAACGAATTATCCGGTGTGGGCGGTTAAAGTCAAGTCAATTATGGATGCACATGGCATATGGGAGACGGTCGAACCGAAGACGTTAGATAAAGCACCAGATCAAAAGAAGTCAAAACAAGCTCTTGCTTTTTTGTTTCAAGCGATACCCGAAGACATGGTGTTGCAAATGGCGAGTTACACCGACCCAAAGCAAGTGTGGGATGGGCTAAAAACACGATATTTGGGAGTGGATCGGGTAAGAACGGCTCGACTTGCAACCTTAAAAAGGGAGCTTGAAAGTTTACGCATGAAAGAGGATGAAACGGTTGATGATTTTGTGACAAAATTATCCGGTTTAGCGTCAAAAGTAAGGAGTCTTGGATATGAGCTTGAAGAAGGTGATTTGGTAAAAAGGTTACTAGATTCGATGCCTAAGTCGTTTCTCCAAATCGTGGCTTCAATAGAGCAATGTTTCGAGTTGGATTCAATGTTATTCGATGAAGCGGTTGGTAGATTGAAGGCGTACGAGGAGCGTATAAGAGGAACTGAGAAAGTGGAGGACACTCAAGGTGGGTTGTTGTTGGCTAGTAATGAAAAGTCACATGTTTGTAAGCATTGTGGCAATGGACGTTCAAATCGGGATGACTTTGGACGTGGCCGGGGAAGAGGTCGGGGGTCCGGGAGAAGTCGAGATGGTAATGAACGTGTCCGGGATAAAAGTAACGTTAGATGTTACAAATGTGGTGAGCTTGGTCACTATAAAAACGAGTGTCCTAAATGGGAAAAGGAAGAAGCGGGTCTAATCGAAGAGGAACCGACTTTGTTTTGAACGACGAGTGGCTCGTATGACAAATCCGAATAAGGGGGTGATTGTTGGGTTAATCGGTTTTATTATTTTAGGAGTCTATTTTTGTTTAGTTTAAATAATGGACAATTAGGAAAGTAGCCATATTTAAGTCTTTTATTTTATATCCTGCATGGTTTTAGAATTCAAGTAGGATACTTATTTGTCTAGTATAAATAGGATCAATGGTATGGTATTTTCTTTTATGCAAGACTTTTTCTATTTTATTTTTGTTCAAGTAATATATTGGTTTCAATTATTCCATTCTCACGTATTCTTTTTACTTGTTGCATAAGGGTTTATTTTTGCTTGTTATTTACACAAGTTTCAACCCAAGTAATCTTACAGTTCTCGCTTAGGACGACACAAAATTCGGAAGTTGAATGACATGAATCTTGGCACACTACCCTTGAGTAGGTCGTATGGTATTGTAGACTTGTAGTGTCTCAATGAGACTTTTATAAAAAGTGGGGTCTTTCATGAGTGGTTTGTGAGAAGCAATTAATTTTTGAATAGTATCAACAAGAGTTGTGGCATCGTAGGATGTTATGGAGGACAAAGAGATAATGTGTTTTGCATACTAGGTTTGAGAGAGCGATAAGTCTCTATAGTTAAGGATAACACTAATACCAAGAAAGTGGTAAAGTGTACGAATGTCGGTCAATACGAACTCACGAGATAATGTAACTATTATGAAATGTAACAGTTTAGTTTAGGTCCAGAGGCAGTTAGAACAATGTCGTCCATATATAGTAATAGATATGCACTTTATTCATGCATTGAAAATTAAAAAATAAATACCACACAGTCCGCAACGAGAATCGAATGAATGGATAAACGTGTCAAAGCATTGGTACTCAAGGGCGGTTTTACCTAGGTGCCCGGTGTGGCACCGGCAACACCTAGTTCCTGCGGATGTAGTGGAAATTTTTTTGATTTTTGAACTTTCTTTTATATTTTTCCTTCATCGGCAACACTTATTTCAACCTCGACAACACCTAATATGTATTCCTATGTCCGCCCCTAATGCTACTATTCATGTGGCACTTGGCACAATACATAGAATTCCATAGGTGTAAAGGAGTCAAAAATACATAAAAGGCCGATGCGTGTGTTCTCCAAGGAATTTTGCAAGAATGCTCTTTTGACTTCGAGTTAATGATTTCGCTAAGGTTCCTTGCACGGTGATTGTATTGATAGCCAAACTAAAGGATGATCACAATCAATACTAGTAGCATTTACTACAAGACATGCCTTGTATGGTTGTACAAAGCCATCCAAGTATAATTTGTGATGGAATAGCTACATACACCTAATAACAAGAGCATCTAAGGGTCTCACTAAGTTAGGGATGTCAACGGGGGCAAACGGGACGGGGAGTCCATCCCCTACCCCGCCCTTGAAATTTCTAGGGGTGATAATTATTGACACGACACGACAAAAATACACGACACAAAATGAAATTGGGACGAAAACGAAATTCGAATTCGTGTTCGTGTCATGTTCATGTTAAGCGTAAAAAACACGATGTTGTGTCGTCTCGTGTTCGTGTTTAAAATTCGACACAAAATTGATACGATTTAACATTTATTTGTTGCGTTTGTCGAGTTATGTATGATTAAATATTAGTTAAATAAACTATTTTTTTATTACTATGTTATCTTTATCGTGTCGTGTTTGTCGTTTTTTAATTGGTTCGCTTTTGTGTTAGTTAAAAAAATCACAATATCGTATCGTGTTCATGTTACATAAAACCTTGTCGTGTCGTGTCGTGTCAGACAAAAACACGATACGATGGCCCGATTTGCCACCCCTAGAAATTTCCCACTTCCCGGTCCCCGCCCCCGGTCCCTGAAATCCCCTTTATTACCCCCGTCCCTGCCCCCACCTCCGTTCCCCCGCCCCCGATTAATTTTGGGTTGTCTTTTTTGGGCTAAAAGAAGTTGTTATTTAAGTAACAAATAATTATTTATAACATAATTTTATATATTAAAAATAAAAAAGTTTTGGCATCTTAAAAACATTATACTAACAACTTAAAAACATGTTTTTTGATAAATTTTGGAAGCTCAAAATCATATTATTGTTTATTATATTTATATAATTAATATATTAATATATTAATATATGTAAATATATATGAAATTGGTTAACGGGGCCCCCATAGGGGTTTCGGGACGGGATTGCCTACCCCCGCCCCGAAATTAAAATGGGGTTAATCTTGCCCCCGCCCCCGTCCCCTGCCTCGATTTTTTTTAAAAAAATTCCCCAAACGGGACGGGGCGCCCACGGAACTTTTTGACATCCATACAATAAATATTGTTAATATGTAACACACTATATTCATCATGTATGACAACCTTTTAGAGGGAGGCAGAGAGGGGTCAGAGAGAGATTTACGAGTGGATTTGGCAATGGATAAGATGAAGTGCTGTGACGAGATATGAAATTCAAAAACTTATTGAAGTTTGCGCTTAGACAAAGTCACAATTTTTGGTGTTGGAGAAAGCAAAACTTGCAGGCCATTGGGGGAGGTGGTGTGAGTTATGCTATGGAAATTAGTGGGAGGCCGTTGGGATGTTGGTGATTAGAGTATCATTGACCATTTAGTATAACTGGAATTAAAATGAGTGCTAACACATATTTAAATTATGATCAAATACGAGTTTAGAGTTGCAGAATCCATACTTATATATACGATGGGTTTGATCTCGAGCAACATGAAAAAAAAAACAGGTTTAGAGAGTTATGCCCCCTTACGATTGGCCGTTACCCAAAACCTCTACATGCTTCTAGACCTAGAATGCAATGGAAAATCTTGATCAAAATACATGAATAAGGAAAGGATAAGCCAAAGGCATGTTAGGGTTTAAGCACTTTTACAAATGATTCAAATGACTAACATAGAGCGGTATATACAAAAATGTTGTTCACATGGTCAGAGTGATTTGCTACGTCCACAAGTGAAACTTTAGTATACTAGTAAGTGGGGGGCTATTGGGATGTTGGGTTGTTGGTGATTAGAGAGTATCACCGAAAATTTAGTATAACTGGAATTAAAATGAGTGCTAACACAGAGTAATATATACTAGTAAGTTGACCTAAAACTGCTAATAAGACGAAACCCAAAAAGCTATGACAAATATGGCCAATAAATCAATCTAGTATCGTATCTGCTATAGAAACATTCCCATGAAAAACTTATTCTAGGACCGGCTCCTCTTTACTCTAAAGCAGGACCTCATACTTGGTTTTCCTAGCGACTATAAGGCCAAAATGGTGAATCGGTCTCCACAAATTAACAAGGAAACTCACGTTACCTTAGAGCCTCCACAATGAAAGTAGTATACAAGTTGAATGAGGTGATGATTAGGGTTGAATATGAGTCAAATAGAGTGTGGGTGATGACATAGAGTATAGTTGAATAAAGAAGTTTAATGATCATTGAACAACTCAATAGAAGGAATAAAGTGGTGATTATGGTTGAATAAGAGTTTAATGGGTTGTGGGTGTTGTATAGATGTTTAATGGATCATGTGATGTGACAATCCATTGAACTCTATAAAGTTCAATGAATTGTGGATGCCCTTTGTAGGTCGCAACTAAGCTGCCTAATGGTTATTCTAGAAACTGTTTTCCGAATGATAAAACTACAACTTTCATTGTTGTTATGCAGATTGGATGAAGAAGAATATAATTTGTTGGCTCTTGTTCCAAGACACAAGGATGGATGATCCCTTGGTAGTGGTCCCACTCACCAACCAGCGGACGTTGTCGAGAGGCAGTGTCCCGAATCCTCAATATAATTTTAAACCAAGAATATAGTACGAAGCCTTAATCAAAATGTCTGAACAAGGAAATGATAGGTATTGTGGGTTAGGCAAGAGGCAACTTATGTTGCCTTACAACCCAAGCTACCCCAGTAGATTGCAACCATAATGCTTATCCGGTCCGTTCTTTAGATGTTCCAGCTGCTTGGCAGGAATTTCTAGAAAACGGTTTTCAAGTGCTAAAGCTTTAATTTTCGTTGATCTTATCTAGATTTGGGATGAATGAATATATAAGGCAAGCTATTTTTGTTTGTGGGATGTGTTCGGCTTTCATCCCATGGTATATATGTTGGCTTGGTTTTTGTCTGATGGTGGTGTGTCATCGATGTGATGTAGAACCTTGTAACAACGTGCATGGAGTTGGAAAAGTTTGACAACATATAGTAATATTTCTATGCATGGTGTAGCTTTGTCTCAAACTTTGCATTTCGAGTCATGACGAGTGGTGGTGCGCTTGATGGCACATTGGCGGCCGAAGAGTTTTAGGTTTAAAAGCCTAAGGCTATGATACCATAAAGGATTCTAAATATCTACTAATCCCAACTAAATATAAGGATACTATATATATATATATATATATATATATATATATATATATATATATATATATATATATATATATATATATATATGGGTAAGTTCAAATGAGAACACTATTTAATGTGAGAACGTGAGAACACTACTTTATATTACTATTCTACTATGAATTTAAAATGTATAGTATTGTAGTAATTATAATATGAATATATTCAATTTTATATTGCTATTCTACTATAAAAATTATATATATGTAGTAATTTAGTAAATTCTAATGTTAATGTTAAATATGTGATTGTTCATATATTCGGAGATGAATAATATCATAAAGTTGTACATACAAAATTTTAATGTGAATATTAATTTGTGATTGTTCGTATATTTGTTGACGAATAATGTCATATCGTTGTATATACAAAATTCATAGTAGAATAGTAACATAAAACACGTTCTCACATTAAATAGTGTTCTCACAGATATATATATATATATATATATATATATATATATATATATATATATATATATATATATATATATATATATATATATATATATGGTAAAAGTGAATATACCTTAAGGGTATATAAGCTTAGGTACCCAAACTCACTATAATTAGTTGTTTTGTTTGATATATTCATTATAATGTTATTAAACTTCAACTTTAACTTGATTTACTTTGAAGATTTTCGAAATTTCATTATTGTTTTCCTCTTATATCACTTCTTTTTGCCGAACACCTATTAGGCTATATATATTAGAGTTGAAAATGAAAATTATGTAAGAGGATGATAAATGTGAAATTTATAAAAATCTTAAAAGTAAATCAAGTTAGAAGTTGAATTATAAGAACATTGGACAATTACAATGTACGCATATGATACAAAACAACATAATATAGTAAGTTTGGGTACCTAAGCTTATATACCCTTGAGGGTATATATATATATATATATATATATATATATATATATATATATATATATATATATATATATATATATTAGGAGATTACATAACTAATTGTTCACTAATTAAACGAACATATGCATTAATTAAATACATTATATTGCTATTAAGTGAACCTACCTTATGTTCTTTTCAAGAACTTCAATCTTTGCCTTAAGCTTGGAGGATTCAAGAGTCCAGCTTGCCTGTACTTACACATATTCTCAAAAAGTCAATAATTCAACCTGACACATTTTTAAGGCAGTTATGCTCGATTTGAATGCTGATTTAGACAAAACATAAGAAAACTGGACAGTTAATGACAATTTTCATAATGTTCCTTCAATTAATATTTTATCCAATAAAAGTTATAGCAACAAATTAATGCGAACCTGTGTTTCGGTTTCAGGAGCAGTGAGCAATTTCTCTGCATACGAATACCTTTCATACCTCTCAAGAATCGTCTCCATACTGCATGTTTCAACTAAATTTAAGATTTGTATACATGTGTATATATTGCAAGAATTTTAATGAACAGTTTACTATTGATCAACAATAAATTATATATAGACTACTTGTTAAATTAAATATTCCAAGAAAGAAATTAAAAATGGTATTTTAAGACGTTTGATTAGAATAAAGTAGGTAAAAGTACATGGCATTCAATTCGATATTCTGAACCATTTTCATCACAGCAAAATCATTAAAACCTAATTTGTGGCTCCTACTTAAGTATATATAGATGTCCTACTTGAGATACCTAAATCCTTTAAAGTAAAGCTAGCTATCATCTACATGTTCTCATGCTTTATGTACCAAATTTCTATAATTAACTTAGGGCATGCATTTCAGGGCATTTTTGTAACAATTTTTCTTTCTTGGTATTAAATGGAATATAATCAATCCTCCTTTTAATTTGAAGTAATTTCTATTCATCAATTTGATTTTTAATTTGCCGTATATAATTAACTTAGGTCTAGTTTTTAAGGTTAATTTGTTGGTTTAATTAAGATGATCATCTGCTAAAAAAGAAGTACGACTTGAGACCCAAGACAGCTTTATGGGAATATCATAAATCTTGAAGACCAAATTAGACGCTTTGAAGCTTTACAGCAATGGCATGCCAATGTCGATTCAATTAATCATCATACGTTTAATTTTGTCAATTTCCACTAACACAACTGCTAAAGTTAAAAAGCAAGAGCTAAAGCAACACGTACACTTGTTAATTTTGCAGAAATTTATGTCATTTCTCTAACCTCTTTATATATACCAGGCTTCTTGCAATCATCACAGTCCGCTTTATCTTTGTTAGTTAACGATTCCAATTGCATAACATGTAATTGTCCTCATATATAAGCATCTATCTTTCCATATATTTAGATTCAAACCATTTTACATTTACCACACTCAATCTCATTTCTATATGATATTTCTAATTAACGGATGATGCGAATTTAACATGTTTACGTTCACAGCAAAAGATATTCGAACCTAAAATTTGCAAAATCAATGGTAAGTTATTGATTAGCTTCAACGTATATAAAAACCCTAAATTTGAAATTTCAATCTTAGTCATATACGTTGAACTTTACAGACCTGAAGCATATATAAAAACTGAAGACCTTATATACAGTTCATAGAGGTTTTGAAAAGTTTGACAGAGAATATATCAACAACTGAGAGCTTGAATCGATGCAAATTCTTGCTTAATTTCTTGTGTTTTGTTCTTTGAAAACAAAATGAACAAAAATGGTAACTTGATTTTCTATGAACACTCGCAAGAGAAATAATTACAATTGAAGGATGGAACATTCTTTGAGAAATTGGTAACCTTAATTTTACTTTAATGCTTCATCTTTTAGCCTTCTCCGGCGAGATCTTTTTGCAAGATTATTGCTTGTAAAAATAAATAAATAAATAAATAAAATAAAATAAAAAAACTTTGTGCTTGATCTATAGAGGTTTGACGAACCTCCTAATTAAAACCCTGTCAATCGACCCTAAAGGAACTGGAGTCTACCCCAAAAGAAATGAATACAAATTATGCTAGATTCCAATATTAATCTTAGAGCTGAAATATTATATGTATAAAAAATCTTTTGAAATAGTACATATCATCTCCCAACAGCTAGCCTAGGATACAGCTTTTGTGATCAGTACTAGGTTGTCTTAAGTTGTTGCTTATGTACAAACAAATTAAAGTTGTAATCACTTTGAAGAAAATATGGTACGATGATGTTAAGGCTGTAATGAGACAGCAATTAAGCAGCAGTGCCACACAGCTCAAGAAAACTCTTGGGAGTTCCAATATCAAAATTAAACTTTTTTCAGTAACAATTTTTTTAATAATTTCAAACAAATAAAACAGTACACTACCCAGAAAAAAACAAATACCAAAATCCACCCAAGGTAAGGGGTTTCATACTGGACTAAATATAGTAATATATTATAATGAGTCTATATATGTATAATAATATATATAGATGCATGCAGAAAGGAGAGAGAGAGAGTGAAGAAAACCCACAGGATTTGTGTCAGGATAACAAAAAAGAATAAGGAAAAACCTCAAGAACACACACAAGATTAAGAGGGTTAATTTGACCCTGATGGTATGAACTTGACCAAAAAAATTTTGATTTAGGGTTTTAAATATTCATACACTTCATTTGGTGCCTGTTCTTTTAGACTTTCTTATAAAAACATAAACAAAGCAAAATCAAGACAAAAATAACTTGAAATCTTGAACGTATCCATACAGATATATATGGAAAATAACTTCTGAATGATTTAAAAACCCATCTGATCAGACAATAAAACCTGTCGACTTTTAAATGTATTTCAAGCCACTGATTTAAAAGAAGCTGCTGAAGAAGAAGAAGAAGAAGAAGAAGAAGATGATGATGATGAAGAAGAAGAAGGGGGTGCGCACCTGGAGTGAGTGGCGTACTCAAAAAGTTTGCCTTTAGTGGAAAAAACGATGAGAGCAACATCAGCATCACACAAGACAGAGATCTCATGAGCTTTCTTGAGCAAACCTGTTCTTCTCTTGGAGAATGTTACCTGTCTGCTAATCTTGTTCTCGATCCGCTTCAACTGCACCCTTCCTCTCCCCATCTAGCTTGCTTTTACAGGGTCTCTTTCTACAGAAAACCCTAAAAAGAATCAGCTTCTAAAGTGAAAAAACAATAAAAAATGCGAAGCAGATCTAAGAAGAAGAAGAAGAAGAAGACGACGACAAAGACACAGGAGAATGTTTTTCTGTAGCTTCCTTTCTATTTTGGTGTATGTATTATTTTATTAGACAATCTTTCATAACATAAAAAAATCTGTTTCCATACCATATGTATTTTATCTTATAAACAGCATAAAATTATTATTACATACTTTGTGAGATCATTTTAACTTACCCCGAATAACTTTGAAAGATTTTGCGTTCTAACTTCAAACATTAACTGCCTCATCAGCTGACAATAGTTTAGTTCTTATAAATATGGTAAAGGTAAAGGCTGATTAATGGCCTTACGATAGACTATATGTGTATTCTACGCTTCTATCTTTTTTTTAACGTTTAAGAAAAATGTACGTACGTACTAAAAAAACTAAATGCATGATTTGTTATATAAACCTAGAAATTAATGTTCATACTCTTTTATATAAGATCCACGAAACCATATTTGTAGGATAAAAAAATGTGGAATTTGAATTTGGGAGAGACGATTAAACCAATTAACACTTGGATTTTATAACTATTTGATTGATATCTAAAATGTAGGAATACAATTTTTATAAGATATATATCAATGGAGGGAGAACGGAAGTAAGGAATAAAAAAAGAAGAGGACGGTGAAAGGGAATAGTTGCATAAGAAAGGGATCTAAAACCAGGATGGTTTAGGACAGATTTGGTGTCAAGTTCTCATTGGTGGATTTCTTATCTCCCTGTCTTGTTTTTAGGGTACATGTGTTGGCTGGGATGAATTTGAATCATGTAAATCCAAATACAAGAGTATGGCATACTTAATTAAAGTGTGACTTGATAATTAAAGTATGTGTTTTACAGAAAAGAAATTGAGAAATTAAGTACTATAATTATTTTTTGGTGGTTTTTTTTTTAAAAAAGATAAACAGTTTTTTATTATTTATTATTATTATTTTTTATTTTTAATAACCATTTTCTCCATAATAGGTTATTTAGGAGCCCACTTCATACTATATGGATTGAGCCCGATCCATTTAACACGTTCTAGAATGCTCATTTCAGCCCATTCCAACTTGTTTGGAAGGAAGAAGTATAGAACTTTTATTATGGGTCTTATTTCGAAATACTACACATTTCAAAGTAAAGAAAGAAAAGAAGATAGAATACATGATTTTGAAGATTTGGTAGTCTTATAGGTAAGTTATTCATTCCTACACTTTTAGTTGTTTAATTATAAGATTAGTAGTGTAAAATAATTACTCCGGAACATTAAGAACACGTCTAAAATATGAAGAACATGTGGACAATGTTATATATGTTCAATTTTTAGCTAATTTAGTGTTATGACCAACCAAAATTAGTTTAGTTATTGTGTTAGACTATTATACATTGAAAATTGGTATTTTGAAACACCCAAAAGACATCCCAAGCATGTACAGAATGCAAAGGACTGATCTTGACACTGCGAACATGTTTGCAATGTGCATAATAGTTTCAAAATGTTCATCGGATTTGGTTTTGGAACACCATTTAAACTTCTTAATTACCTTAATATATATTTTTTTGTTTTATCTATAACATGACAAAATTTTTGATGCATCAATTACACTATCTTGCAAACCTGAAATTTATACGGATATTCTTGTGAGACTTAAGGACAGACCGCCACACGAGACTATGTTCCGAAAGACTTGTTTTGGTAGGTGGGTAGATATTCATGTGGGGGTAGAGGGGGATCATTTACTTCTACATTACGTGTTACACAGAAGTTGTAATAGACCCTCAAAGCGAAGTAGAGGAAGTGATTTGTAAGATAGAGGGGTATGAGCTGACTTTTGGGAAGAAATAATTTTGTCTTGTCACCGACTTTCAGTCTGATGAATATTTTTGGTGCCTCTGATTTCGGTCTTACTTTCCAATCTCGTGTATTTATTATGGTTAAGAACAATAACATTGTGAATTAAAAGATGTCATTGATGTATTTGAAGCATCGCTTAATGACATATCAGATGAGGATGTGATTCGTGTATGTCTTATATATATCTGTTAGAGATGGGTTTTAATGGGCGATTGCCTCGTCAAATGTGGTATCCAACCTTGATGAATTCAAAATGTATCATGTCATCAATTTATAATTGTCGCTACTAATGTTCTTTTACAAAATTAATTGTGCATTTTTATGTCGCTAATATCCATGGGGGAGGATAATTTGGGATCAATTGTACACACAACTATGCACTGTATTTGATAAGGTTGACAAACATATACATCCAGTGCTACAAAAAATACACAGCCTCAAAAAATGACATACATCCTAAGTGAATTTTTATACGTTTTAAGGTATTTTTTAACCTTTTCTTTTTGCTAATATTCTAATACATGATTCTTTTACATATGAATTCTTGAAAGTTTTCCTATGAGCAGTTTTTTGGTACCCGATAACTGAATGTGATTCCTTAGGCTATTAAATGGTCGAAAATGAAGAAGTTACAAGTGGATCAATGCAATAAGTTTTTAATCGTTGACTACGTATGATTATTTATATAATTTATAATTTTCACCCATATGTATAATTTATGATTATTTATAATTTTACAATTTTGATAGCAACATAATAAACTTATAGAGAAGTTGGAGTCGACAACATAGGAGAGTCGTGCTGATTGGTGGTAGAACAGAGGATCCACCAATTTCAAAAATGGTGCTAGGGACTTCACGCAAAGGTTCTATAGTTACAATAGTAGGGGTGGTAGTTGGAGTAATTGGAAAGCCTTGAGACAAGCTCTCAGTATGTCTTCTAGTGTTTGAATGGTTCTCTCACTCTGCCTGTCAGTTTGAGGATGGTAAGCTGTACTCATGTCCAGCTTTGACTCAAAATCAAAAAAGGGTGCTTAACTCTTGCCTCATTGGGCCTACCCCACCAAGGCCCATATCCAAACTAGTACAAAAAGGCAATCCAATGCCAACTACAAGATGAAATGCATCAATGGCTAGCATAACCCTAATAGACTTAATATTCGCTACTGGTGAGAAGGTCTCATCATACTCAACTCTCGGAGTTTGAGTAAAGCCCTTCGGAGCTTATGACGCAACTTCAAGAGCTGTTGGACAACGATTTCATTCGACCTAGTTCATCACCCTGGGGAGCTCCGGTGTTATTCGTGAAGAAGAAGGACGGAAGCATGAGAATGTGTATTGAAAATGCTTTTATGTGCTAAATGCTTTGTGCCTGATATGCTATTAATTGTTCGGATCTATGGTCTTTTGCCGACCGGATCTGGAAACCTTATGTGTTTAGGATTCTAAACGTACGACTACGACATTTCGGAGAGATAAGGATGATTTGAACATCAGTCCTAAATAAAGATCTAAATTCACCTTATTCGGTGTATAGATCAAGATGGGAAGGACCCGTAGCGGAAACGTGAATGCAAATGGGAACAGAAACCAACCCCCAGTAATTGAACAAAACACTGTGTAGAGAAGTAGAGGACCTTAGGTATGAGGGTTATGAACTTAGAAAAGGACAAAAACCTCTTAAGGCCAAGTTAGAAACTAAAATAAAGGACTTTAGAAGACTTCAGGAAGACTATAGTAATAAATGTGAAAACTATGACTACATAAAGAAACAAAACGCTGAGTTAGTGATTGAAATTGAAACATTAAAGGGCAAATTTGAAACTGCTGATTTTGATTTTCAAAAATTTGATGTATCAAGTGAGGTAGTTGCCAACATGATAGAGGTTTCAACTTTATATGTCAAAATGATGTTTACAACAGAGAAGATCACGAATCTACAGCCTTCCTCTCGATCACGCTTCTTCAAACTCCAAACTCCTTCCAAAAGACACCAAGAAACACTCCTCAAGCTCTCTCACACACACACACAAAAATGAGAGAAAATGCACATGACCATGCACAGATTTACATTAATTAAATAATAATTAGTAGATTTAGATCTAAATTGCTAATACTCATTTAATTGGTAACCAACAGTAATAGTCAAAGCTAATGTATAACCATTGAGTGAAAGCGGATTCGAACTAATAGAAGTGTTTGTTTATTGATTGAGTTTTTGTTAAAGAATTAAGTTCATCTAAATTTGCAAAATTAGATAAAACCTCTTCCTTTGCTAGTAATTAGGTTAGTTTAGTTGTAAATAAATTAATTAGTCAACACCATTCTCTGTGATCGACACCCGACTTACCAAACTATTCTATAATTCGACTAGCTACACTTCCTAGGTGCATTTTAGTTAGTTAAGTTAGTTATGTTATAAATTATAAAATTAGTGGGTACTTTCGTGCACATCAGTCATATACTCATATGTCACACCCCCGAACCAGGACGGCGGAAACGTTATGGGCAGATGATGTCATTGTATAGTATCATAACAATTTAATATAAATGAAACACAACAATCCAAACAACATACATTAAGAATACAAATCTTACATAGTTTTCAAACTGTATTTGTTCAAAATTACACAACCAGGACTAAAAAGTAAGAATTCCAGAATGCAGCAATCCAGTTCTCAAAGACTTAGGTACCTGCTTACTGATTCCCTGAGATTACAAGTGATTTTGAAAAGCATCAACATTGATTGTTGGTGGGTTCATAAGCATATTTGTATGAAAAGATTTGTATCTGCTTTGTTTAAAAATGGTTTGTATATTTCCAGAAAATTTGATATTTTCTATTAAAATGAGTTGTAAGTCTTACACCAAAGACTAAAAATGTATGTAAGCGTGCACTTTATTTCTTTTCCTTGTAATTGTAAAATATATGTTCCAAAATAATCCACTATCTTCTAATGTATGAAAACAATAGTCTTAACCCCTAAGACCAAAAATGTAAGCCATAGTGTACTGAAAGGTAGTATGCATTTATATATTTTAATAAAACCGGTGAAGTGTAAACTTCCCGTAAACCAAGATAGTATTGTTAATGCCTAAGTGAGTTCTTATAACCATGCTTAATGTGACTGTTATGTCTGTACAACGTTCTTTGGGCGTCGGAATCGGTAAGATATTTTTCATCCTAGACTGGCCCGTCTAGCTGTAGTGAACAACTTATGTGTGGGGTTGATCTCCTCGTGGCAAGTGCATATTTCAAACACCGATTTAATCTTCTCAAACCATCTTATATATTTTTTTTCGTCACAAAAGTTGTTTTAGAAAAACAAAGAATTATTTTAAATAATCTTAAGTGTATATATATATATATATATATATATATATATATATATATATATATATATATATATATATATATATGGAAGAATTATATGGAAAACAAAAAACTCTAAAAATCATAAAAGTGCATAAAAAATATTTAAACATCACAAATCTTTTTTTTGAATATATATATATAAACTAGCCATGAACCATTGTGTTGTTTCAATAAATAAAAAGCTTATTTTTCATTCAGATGCAAAAATAAATGGTAATCAAACGCTCTGAATGAAAGACATTCAAAGTTGCATCTTATTCAAGAGGCATTAATATGCTAACAAACAACTATAAGTAACAAAAGTTAGAAAAAAACATAGGACCATTTTAACAAAATCGAACTTCGATGATCTATGTTATAAGTTTATACATAAATAAGAAACCTAGATGCTAAATAACGGGTTTGGTTATCAAAATAAATATTATTTTAGATTAATGAATCTTGATCATATAGCATAAACTTTTAAGTATTGATTTTAAAAATATGTTATTTTAAATAAAAGTTAAATAATAATAATATGTTTTTATACATATTTTACTTT